AACATTATAATGAAACATTATCTAACAAAACGATGTTATTCAAGCACCTGCCATATACATGCACACCGATGATAAAGTTTAACTTACAAATTAGGCCCAGTAGGAGGTTAACAACATAATCAATAATAAAATAGAATGATTATAATAATACTAGAGGCCCAGCGTGCATGAAATTGTGCACTGTTGCACACAATTGTGCGCTGTTAGGGCCCTTAGGCTTAGCCTGGCCTCCGTCACTGGCCTCTGCCGCCCTGCAATGCTACATGACGCTCCTTGCCCTCGACTGCTCTGTGAGGCTCCCCCACACCACCACTGCTCTTGGAGGCTTCCCCCGCCCCACGACCACTCCACAAAACTCCCCCCACCCCGTGACTGCTCCACTAAGCTCGCTGCTGCCCTGGGAAGCAGCCCACCGCCACCGCTGACAATGCCACTCAACAGTCGCAGTCCCGCCCACCGCTACCCTTCCTCCTGGCCAGTGGCTTGGGGGTCAGGGGAGGGGGAATGAGAGGTGCTCCATGCACTTCATGGTGACTGTTCATCTGCTTGGTCGTGACAGCACCTGGCTCTTCATATATTAGGATACTGTAATAAAAGTTATGTGAATATTGTCTCTCAAAATATCTTATTTGTGCTTACTTACCTTTTCACTTAAAGGAAGCAATTTATGGCTTCTCTTTGGCATATCCCAATTGCCAGCATCACTACTCTTGCACTTTGGGGTCATTGTTAAGTAAAATAAGTGTTATTGAACACAAGCACCGTGATACTGAGACAGTTGATCTGATAACCCGAATGGCTTCTATCTGACTAACAGGCAGGTAGCTGGACAGGGTGGACATGTTGGACTAAGGGGTGACCCACAGCCTGGGCAGGACGGAGTGGGAAGGTGCAGTACTTAAAACTTGTGAATTGTTTGTTTATGGAATTTTTTATATATTAATTTTGGATCACAGTTGACTGAAACTACAGAAAACAAAATTACAGATATAAGCAAGACACACCACACATATATGTATATATATTATATATATATGTGTGTGTGTATATATATGTATGTATGTCTTTATGTATATAGTATTGGTGGTACTTAGTATCATTCTCAAATAGCATTGATTAAGCATCTGAGCTTATGACACTGACTTCCCTCTAAATGAGTAGCTAAGCTCTAGCTACAGGCATAAAAGATAAATAATATATGGTTACTATAAATAGCAATAGAAAATAGTGGTAAATATAAATTCAAGATTTTGTTCACTATTTCTCTTGTTTGATTATGAAATGCTTATTGTAATTTTCCATATGAGGCCATAGTTCACAAAGCTATTTTTAAATTTTAGGCATCCTGAATTTTAATAGCAAGCACACATTTCAGCATAGCTGGCCATTATGATTTACAAGGGCCCCTTGTAAAAGTGGAGATTGAATTTGTAGCCCTAGAAATTGGAAGGTGACCACCTATAAAGACATCCTATACTCACATTTCAGCATTCATTGTAAATTTTGCATTTTTCTCTCTGTTTCAATACATTTGTCCCCAAATGAAGCTGATGCTGCATGCAGACTTATCCTGTGGTTTTGAATACTCCAATTTGAGAAGCAGGATAGTAAACGGAATCCCATTTCCCAAGGCCTTTAGGTCAGAAATGCTTCCTTGTAGGAAAGTTTTAACTTCATAGTCTGGGTTCCATGTTGGCTTTGCTGAAAGTGTCACAGGTTCTCCTGAGTCACCTCCTCTGTGTCAGGGATCTCTCCCCATCTTTCTAACCACCTGTCTTGTGGTCTTTGTGTGCCATTTCTTGGACAGTGCTTTTGATGGAACCCTTCTTCTTCTTTAATCTTTGTTTTATCTTGATTTTCCTACCCTGTTTCTTTTCAAAACTTTTTGGCCATTCCTTCCTGTCTTGTATTCCTCTCTTCCCCTATTTGTGATTCTGTCCGCAATTAAGTTTTAGCTTCTCCTTCCTCACTTGATATCACTTTTCTCAGCTATTTCAGTTCTGCCCTCTCATTTATAATATCCAGGTGCCTTTTGGACAATTCAACTAAGATATTTTAGGGTCACTTCATATTTAGCATTTATAAACTCACTTTTACATCCCCAGTGCCTTACATAGAGCCTGGCACAGTAGATACCAAGAAATACTTATTGAATGAATTAATTAAATGAATCTCCTTTTCCTCAGACCAGATTTTTCCCCTAATTTTCATCTTTTGTCATAGTATCACTGTTCTTACCTCTGCTCTCTGCTATTGCAAGTGTTTTGTTGATTTTTTTCTTTTGAAATGTATCATATATGTATTAGTTATTTTCATGACTTTAACCCTATTGAGGTCCTTGGCAACTCTTGCCAAGGTTACTCCTACAGTTTCCCATCTGGCCTATTTGGTTCTAATCTCTTTTCTCTCCAAGCTATTTCCACCACCGCTACTCTAATAACTTTTTAAATGTTTACTTATTTCTTATTTCAATATGCTTTTTATTTTTGGAATAATTTTAGGTTTATAAAGAAATCGCAAAAATAGTACCTTTACCCAGTTTCTTCTGATGTTAAATTAATATTTTACATAAGCATGGCTCATTTGTCAAAATTAAGAAATTAACATTGGCTCTGGCCCACGATTGGTTGGAGCATTGTCCTGTACACCGAAAGGCAGCAAGTTTGATTCCCAGTCAGGGCCCATACCCAGGTTTTGAGTTCGATCCTTGAGGTGCGTGCCAGAGACAACTGATTGGTGCTTCTCTCGCACAAGATTTCTCTCAATCTCTCCCCCCTCCCCTTCCCCTCTCTCTCTCTCTCTCTCTCTCTCTGTCTCTCTCTCTCTCTTCCTCTCTCTCTCTTCCTCTCTCTCTCTTCCTCTCTCTCTCTTTCCCTCTCTCTCTCCCTCTTCCTCCCTCTTTCCCTCCGTCTAAAAATATTGTTTTTAAAAATTAACATTGCTACGTAACTATTAACTAAAATTCAGACTTTATTCAGTTTTCACTAGATTTTCCATTGCACTGCTGTACTTTTACCACATTGACATTTAGCATGTCATTATCAGACCTCATTTGGAGTATTCTATTCACTTCTAGGTATTATATTTCTTTCTTTTTTTTAAAATATATTTTATTGATTTTATACAAAGAGGAAGTGAGAGAGATAGAGAGTTAGAAACATCGATGAGAGAGAGTCATCGATCAGCTGCCTCTTGCACACCCCCTACTGGGGATATGCCCGCAAGCAAGGTACATGCCCTTGACCGGAATCGAACCCGGGACCCTTCAGTCCCCAAGCCGACGCTCTATCCATTGAGCCAAACCGGTCCCGGCTAGGTATTATATTTCAAAGGGACATTTTTGAAATTAAAGTACCTGCATTTTTAAAAATTTTTTTATTTTTGCTGCCAAAACAATCACAAATTTAGTGGCTTAAAACAATGTAAATTTATTATCTTACAATGTGTAGGTCCAAAATCCAGCATGAATCTCACTGGGCTAAGACCAAAGTACCTCAAGGCTGTGTCCCTTTCCTAGCCTTTTCCAGCTTCAAGTAGCTCCCTTCCCCCCTCTTCAGAGCCAGCAAGAGCGAGTCCAGTCCTCATCTTGCCTCTCTCTGGCCACTGCCGGGAAAGGCTCACCACTTTCAGAGGACTCCTGTGATTACTTTGGACCCATCTGGATAATCCCCCATCTCAAAATCCTTAACCTTAAAGAAACCATGTTTTTAAAAATTAACATTGGCACATAACTATTAACTAAAATCCAGACTTTACTCAGTTTTCACTAGATTTTCCACTGCTGTACTTTTGCCAGGCAAAGTGACATATTCACAGGTTCTAGTGATTATGGCATGCACATCTTGGGGGTGGGGTTAGGGGAAGGGAGAGATGGACCATTATTCTGCCTACTCAGCGCTTATTACAGAGGACCACCAGGAATAGTGAGGGAGCTAAATTGGAGATAGAATCGGAGATGATCCTAAAATGTCCTGCCTAGGAAAGAAGAGATGATGTTTATAAAATGATTAGAGCATTAAGCACACAACAAATGGTTTTTGCTTTGAAGGCTAACACAGAAATTTCAGACACATAGTAAGTTCAGAAGGGAAAGAAGGTTAGGGATGCGAAAGGGGATGAAACAGAATTTGGGATCCAAGTTAGCACTTTACATTAGATCAGCAGGTGGTTTCAATGTCCAAAAGCACTAAATTTAACAAGAACTGTATTATTTTCCTAACTAGTGAGAGCTGAGGAAGATGGGGGTGATGGGAGGTTGCGGTAGAGAAGCAACTTTCTGGGTTGTTGGTGTCTGTGTGTGTGTGTGTGTGTGTGTGTGTGTGTGTGTGTGTTTTGCCATGATTATACAGTGGCTAGATCCTAAGGAGTTGAGAAAACTTTTATCAAAGGAAGAAAGGAAGATTTTTAAAGCTCATAGGACTATTGGGTGTCTCTCCCCGCTGCCCCTGCCAGAAACATATGGAAACAAAATCCCCTCTGAACCCAAAGCCAGCCTTCAGAGACTAGTGAGAGTTTTCCGGCTTTCCCTATAATTTTCCTTACATTTTCCCCTTTAAACACATTGAAATCAACCTTTAAGAAGTTGCTGGTAAGGGGTTATCAAGCAGGAGTTAAATTCACAAGCCCTCCCCCACCCCTCCTCCTGGGGTGGCAGCTTCAAGGCCGCAGAAAATGTGTTTCAGCGTGAACCTGATCCAGAACCTGATCCCAGCCAGCGCCGGAGCAAAGTTGAGTCTGTGAACAAATAGGTGGCTTGCTGGCAGTCTCGTGCTGTCTGTCCAGGCATCAGCTTGCTGTGGTGTAAGTAGTTCGGATTTTTAAAATTATGATATTGGAATATAAAAAGAATTGTAGGAATAATTTCCACCTAAGATTACAGTAAGGTGCTGCTTGGCCCTCAGTTTTGGCATTTCACAAGTAGTTTTATGTTAAACAATGCAAAAGAAAAAGCAGTGACGTTTTTTCAGCAAGCGTTCTGCTAAAACAGGTCCTGCTCGCATATGGTTTTTAATGTCTTGTCTTTGGATGAACGAAGTTGTTTACAGTCAGAAAATGAAAGTGAGTGAATATATGCTGGTGCCCAGAGATGGTTCTTTCTAAGCAGAGCTTAGATTTCTCCCTGATCTTTCCAGTTGCTCTTCTTTACTTTAGGTCCATGTTACAAGTTTATGTTAGCAGATATTTAGTGATCGCTCATGTAATGAAGCTGAAGGTGTTGATATTCAAATAAATTAAATGAGAATAAAGTAGAACTTTAATACTATCTAATCAGATGGTGGGGTCCTAGATTTAAGAGCAGCAGAATTTATTTTTAAAGAGGAGGAATTCTGTGAAATGGATGGAAATGGCAAGCAGCCTTAGAAATTTCATGCAACTTTGGAGAAATATGTTTTTAAGATTTTGACATATGTACTAATGTTCCAATACTATAGTGTGTAAAATGAATTTCCTATGTGAAATTAGAATTGCTTTATTTCAACTGTTGTATGTTGAGGTTAGGATTCCAGGAACTACACATTGTCACACAAGCATTGACTTTATTGAGTGCAGCTCTGAGAATGTTAATTTTGCATTTACTGTTGGAAAAGTTGATATTTTCTATTTCCCTTTTGCCACAATGTATTATATATAGAAAAACAAACAATTTTATGACTTTGAATATAGAAACGAAGTTTGGTGTGGTTAATATATAAACATTATAAAGGTCAGTAGCCTTTCAAATCAATGCAGGAAGTGCTAAGAAGACAGATTGTTTATGTAGAAATACACTGGATTTCCCCTTTCCTCTGTCTTCATCTCAGACCTCAGGAACATTCCGTCTATTTCTCCAGCCTACCTCTTACTCCTGCTGGGCTGAGCAGGAGCCCAGACAATGGCATTGGGCCGCAAGGACCCTTGATTGAATGGGAGCTCAGGGCACACTGTCCTAAGCAGGCTCTAGGACTGTAATGACATGAAACCTTTACTCATCCTTTAGAATGATGGATTTCAATGGTTTTAGGTTCCTGAGCTGGTTAAATTCCCCAACTCAATAGCTTCTGCTGTCATTTCACAAGTAGTTTTATGTTAAACAGCGGAAAGGAAAAAGTTGTTGGTTCATGGGCGGGACATTTGGGGCTGGGGGTTCCTGGGAAAGGAGCCAGCATGGCAGATGCGACTGTTGTTATGGAAGCAGCTATTTCTTAACTGAATTCGAAATATTCCAGTGTTTTAACAACCTGGAAGAACATACAGGTGTGTATTGGCTGAATTAAAAAAATTATTACTGGATGAATCTTAACCAAGACTCTTTCAGATTTTCCCCTTAAATCTCCAGTAGTTGACCATGCCCTACAAAGCCCACATGATCTACCTTCTGACCATAGGCTTACCACCATTGCCTAACCTTGTTCTCCTCACTCAGTTTGCTGCAGGTACATAGGTGTTTTTGCTGTTTCTAGAGGACATCAAGCTTGTTCCTGCTTCAAGGCCTTGGCTGCTTGGAAAGCTCTTTGTTTCTTCCTTCCCTTCATTTAAATTGTGACTTGGAGACACCACTACTATACTTTTACAGTATTTCTCCTTTTTTTAATTTACCCTGATATACTTTTTTTAAAATAAAAAAAAGAAAAATAGCTACCTGGGATTATTTCTTTTATACAGTTTTCCTCACTAGAATATAAATTCTATGAGGGCAAGAATGTCTTTGACCAAAATAAAAAGTACAATATATATACTATGATCATGGATTATTGAGCTCCAAATTGTTAAGATTCCAATTCTCTCTAAATTAATCTGTGTCCAATGCAATCCTATCAAAATTCCAACAGGCACTTTTGAAGAAACTTTCAAGAGATTCTAGAATTTAGCTGGAAATGCAACTGACATAGAATAGCTAAGACAATCTTGAAAAGGAACAACAAGGGGGTGAATTATGAAATGTGATTTCAAGACTTGTCTGTAAAGCTACAATTATCAAATAGTGCCCTAAGGATAGACAAACATCAGTGGAAGAGAATAGTTCACTCAGAAATCAACTCACACATATAAAGGTTGATTGATTCCTTTTTGAAAAATATTTTTTTTATTGATTTTAGAAAGGAAGGGAGAGACGGAGAGAGATAGAAACATCAGTGATGAGAGAGAATCATGGATAGGCTGATTTACTGGGCATTGAGCCTGCAACCCAGGATGTGCCCTGACCAGGAATCAAACTGTGACCTCCTGGTTCATAGGTTGATGCTCAACCACTGAACCACGCCTGCCAATCAGGTCAATTGATTCTTGATCAAGATGCTGAGTCAATTCAATAGGAAAAGAATAGTCTTTTTAAACATATTGCTGGGGGGAAAAATGGATTTTCATGTGGAAAAAAATACGTCTTTCTCACTTAGATCACAACATTAAATAGACATGAGTTATAGATTTAAACATAAAACTCAAAACCAGCCCTGGCTGGTTTGGCTCAATGGATACAGCATCGGCCTGCAGACTGAAGGGTCCCAGGTTCAATTCTAGTCAAGGACACATGCCTGGGTTGTGGTCTCAGTCCCCAGTAGGGGGCATGTAGGAGCCAGCCAATCAATGATTTCCTCTCATCATTGATGTTTCTATCCCCCTCTCCCTTCCTCTCTGAAATCAATTTAAAAAAAAAATGTGTTAAAAAAGAATCAGGACCAGAAAGTTAAAAAAACAAACAAACAAACAAAAAAAAAAACACGCAAAGGAAAATATTTTTGTAATTGTGAGGTATATAAAGATTACTTGAGCATGACACTAAAGCACTAACCATAAAAGTAAATCAAATAAAATAAGCTTATGTTCTTACTGTAAGAATTCCCAGGACTTTTAATATGTTACTGTTTCTAGGAGGAGTGTCAGGCAGCATTTCCCAGAGTTGCGTGGCCACCAAGTTCTGTTTTCATCTGGAGCATTCAACTCAGTGCCGGTGAGCATGCCATACGGGGAGAAGGGCTGCTTTGGTTCGCTCCTCAAAACAGACTATGTTTAAGAGCTGTAATAAGTTAATGATCGGTTTCTCCCTTTTCATATGAATGAATGTTATTGCATCCATTTCAACAATCAGAGTAAAGAAAACCAACCCTTATTCCAAAATAACTGTGGTCACTCTCCATTCCATATTGAGCAGTCAGGCAGACAACTGTTGCAGGTATTACTATTGGTAGGCTCACATTAGATTGGAATTTGCCATAGTGGGAGGAATAAAGAGGAACTAAAGGGAAAGCACTTGTATTTTCCCTGCTGCTGGTGCTGGTTCCAGAACTCCTTGTTAGGCCTGCTCTGTCCTGCTCCTTCCCTGCCTGTCCGATTCTGAATTGTTAACCTGTTGTTCTCAGATTGCTCATCTCACAGTTCTTCCAGTTCTTAATTGCTCAAAGGCATTTTTTTCCTGTGGCATTCCTAGTCTCTGATTCATAGTTCACTGTCCAGATCCGATTGCTCTACTTGTTGTTGCCCATGAACTGATTTTATGGAAAACAAGTTGTCACATCATAATAATAAAAGACCAGTCACCAGGAGGTGCATGGAGCACCTCTCAACCCGGTGCCCTCCTCACAATGGCAGGATATGCAATTTCGTATGCTGAGCCCCAAGTAAGAAATAGTAGAGGAACCAGAAAAGAAATTGGAAGGAAGCCAAAGCCAAACTTAACCTAAACCAGAATTTGGCCATGGCTTTTCCTGTTCTGAGAAAGAGATCTTGGGAAGAAGTCAAAATGGTGTGTAATGCCAGTAGAAATAAATAAAGCTTAAAGAAGTGTCCCAATATTATCTCTGAATTGTATTTTAAAAATTGAACTACTATAATACATATTAGTTTTTTATGAATGTGAAAAGCTAATAACCAGATATGGAAATGTCATCTGTGCCATCTGAATAGAGCTTACTAGAAAGACCATAAATGATTAGAAGTCAAAAAAGCTTTAGTTTAGACCTTCCACTAATTTGCTTTTTAATCATTAGTAAATATACTATTACTATTATATAGTAAATATGCTATATAATAAAAAAGGTAATATGCAAATTGACCATCACACCCTCACAAGATGGCAGCCTACAAACAAGCCAGCAGGGGGGTAGCGAGGGATGACCAAACGACTGAATAGCAGGCTCTGTGAGGTGACCAGGTTGGCAGGGGAAGGGGTCAGTTAGGGATGATTAGGCTGGCAGGGGTGGTGCAGTTGGGGGCAACCAAGCCGGCAGTTGGGGGTGATTGGCTGGGGGGAGGGGAGAGGGCAGTGAGGGGCAACTAGATCAGCAGGGGGCGGCAGTTAAGGTGACCAGGCCAGCATGAGGGGGCAGTTAGGGGTGACCAAGCCAGCAATGGGAGCAGTAAGGGGAGACCAGGCTGGCAGGGGGTGGCAGTGAGGAGCAACCAGGCCAGCACGCATAGGCAGTGAGGGGCAATCAGGCCATCAGGGGTGGGCAGTTAGGGGTAACCAGGCAAGCAGGCAGGTGAGCAATTAGGAGCCAGCGGTCCAGGATTGTGAAAGGGATGTTTGACTGCCAATTTAGGCCTGATTCCTGGGATCGGGCCTAAACCAGCAGTTGGACATCCCCCAAGGAGTCCTGGATTGGAGAGGGTGCAGGCTGGGCTGAGGGCCACCTCCTCCATGCACAAATTTCATGCACTGGACCTCTAATATTCTTTTAAAGAGGAAAAAAAATATCGCTCTGTCCCTCATTGCAAAGAAAAATTACATGTGTATGTACATGTATGTCTTTGTATGTGTATAGGTACACATACACGTACATGCACAAAAGGCCCTATCACAGGTACTTTCTCATGTGCTGTCTCATTTAATTTTTTCTGTCCATGTCTCACTTTCCTCATCTGGAAAATGAGATAATGTCTCACCCTAACTTTCTCACAGGACAATAATTATAATCATAACCAGGTAATATTCAGCACTATTCTAAAATTTAAGAAATAAATCATGAATGCCATGTTGAGAGATCCATACTAGTGTTTCCATAGCAAAATGGTGTGGTGGATCCTGGTAAAATTTATTTCAAAATACATTTGCAAGACAAACTTAGCAGAAACTATTTACACAG